AAGGTGCATGATAAGAGGATAATGAATGAATGTGTCTGCAAAGCACAATTATTTCTAATGGTTTCGACACAGAAATTAAACATTTTCCACCAGAGTTATGGTCACCCTCACCCGTTCCATATATCTCTAACAGTTCATACTACGCACTGTTGTCCTTGGATCTTCTACTCACCCATATCTTTCTTCTCAATCCTAGCAAAAGCAGTTAGAAAAGATTGGTTCTTTTTTGTTTGTTTTCTTTACATGGTACTCAAATATATCATTTTTTCTGAAAAGGATGGATCTTGAAATCTTATTTTGACTATGGATCATATCAGATACGCACAGTGAAAATCTATCAGAATCGAAATTCTTTAACCAATATAAATTAATTTGGATGCAATCATGAACGTAAATTTTAAAAGACTAAAAGAACGCATGAGACTTCAGATTCATTACCTGACGTGCCATTGAAAAAAAGATCAAAACCTCCAAGATTTTGCTGCACAACATTTAAATCTAGGGTAAGTTAAAAAAGAGAAATTGGGTTGAAGGAATGAAGTGGGGGGAGCCATTACCATCCAGGAGCTGTGGCATCAAGGGTGAAAGTGAGAAAAAAACGGCGAGGGTTGGTCACGTCAAGCTCCATGCAAAGACTCTCCTTCCGAATATTAATGGCATCATTCTTGACGATGACAGTTTTGCCATGGTAAACGTAAGCTGGTGGTGGTGGAAATATTAAAAGAAGGAAACCATTATGCAAAACTAGAAAACCTAACTTTCTAATAATGTGTAAGAACTGAAAACATTAAACTAAACACAGAATTTGGCATTCAAACATATTTCTAATATGAAAACAATACTTAAACAACAATTAAAACTAAGATTAAAATGCAGAAACTAAAAATCAACATTGAAAACCAAGAAAAGTGACGAGAAAGTAATAAATTTACCTAATTTTCTAATTTTTTACAATTTTGTATCCAAACTTGTATCAAATGATTAGAACAGGTTTACCAACACGAAAACAAATTAAAAAAAAATTGCAATGAAAAGCAGATTATAAAACTAGAAATAAACAAATGTGTTGAAAGAATTAAATAAATGAAAAATGGGTTATCTAAAACTAAAACCAAAATTGAGTTAGGATCATTCCAGCTTCAATATTGACTGTCAATGATTCATTTCTAAACTATTAGAATACAGTGATCATTTCAGATTCCAAAGAACTCAATTCTTGGTTGAAAAACTGAGTCTAGCAAAGTGCACAGATGAAAATCAAGTGATCATTCCTCAAGATTTTGATTCTAATTTAGAACTACAAAATTGGGTTTGATTCATAATGGTAAAATGTAAATTGGCATAAACTGTAATTTGAAATTGTAAATGAATAAAAGTCCATAACAAGAACAAAGCAATGCAAGAAAATCAGAAATTGAATTGGATTAAGAGCAGAATATAGAACCTTGTTTAGAAGTACAAAATACAATGAAGTTCTTGATTGCTTTTGATAACTTTGTAGTCTAATATAGCCAAGAGACTCCAGAGAAAATGCTCTCCCGAAACTCAGAAAACGAAAACTAGAAACTAAAGAAGTGTTTGATGTGTATTCTAGTGTTGTGACGTGTGGTGTTTGGTTCGATCAAGGCCTTATATAGACAAAAACAAAGAACTAAAACTAAGAAACTCTAATAGACATATCCTGTTTTTCAAGATTTATTCAACTAACTTAACTTAGTAAGTAAATAAAGTCTTCGACTGCCTTGAATCCAGGCTGTTACAGGTCACTCTTCATGCAGAAACTTGTCCATTTGTATTCCAACCTTCTATTCCAGGTCATAAGCCTCCCAGCCACGTGGTTTAGCTTGGTCCATTCTTCTGCTTTCAAATGCTTCTTCAAGGGCTACCGCCAATTGTAGGTTGTAAGTGACTATTCCAACTCCTTTTCTTCATTGGTAACCTTCTACATCAGGTGCGGTCAGCCTTGGTTCCAGCCTCTATCCGGTTGCATTCACAAAGCTCTACAATGATTAACTCCAAACAACTGTGTTTCTAGCAACTGCCTTCAACTTTCTCCAACTAACTTCCTAGAAAAAAAATCATTATAATCACAAAAAACTTTAATATGCCACTTACTAATTATACCCACTAAATAACTTCTTAGTGATACTAAAAATATAATCTGAAAGAAAAATATATAACAGATTTAAATGTTATAGATAAATTGATATAAATCAAAATCTAACATAGAGGATTCTCATCTTTGCGGTGTACCAAAGTTATGAAAATAGCTCATCCTTGCAAAAGCATTCCTTGTCTACATCCAATCATCCCCTCGACACTTTTTATCTAAAGCAATAAGTGCATTTTTATTATGTAAGAATGGAAAAAACATGTTTCAGAACTGCACCCCTAGTCACGTGTCATGACAAATACTAACTACTCATCCCGTCTCTTTGTTGGAAATAAAAGTATGAATTTAAGTCTCATATGATAAAGTTGAATATTATATAAAAAATAATGTGTGGGATTATATTCATATATAATTAGTGTTGTGTTTCTGTGGTGATCCTTTCTCGAAACAATGGTATTAGAGCAAAAAATTTGAAGGTTTGTCGTGATAACAGGTTGAAACAAGGTACTGAGTGAAGAATCTTAGATATAAACTGTATTCATATTTGTGTCTTTCTAGTAATCCTCACTTGAAAGATTGGTTAAAATCTTGTCAAGAGGTAGAATTTTTGGATTCCACCTTCATCGGGAGAGACCTTATTTGTTAATCCATGTCCATTTTCTGAGATACTAAAGAGACTAATTTTTAATCAACATGACAGTGCTATCTTCATTCGAACAAGACATTGGGGTCCAAGACTTCTAAATTTTTAATCTTAATCCATGACATTGGTTTTAAACTTTTACAGCTGTGTAAAGTTCAGTTTAGTAAACTCATTTAATTCAGAATATTTGTCGTACCAAGGAAGATTACACTATTTATTTACCTTAAATTTAGTTCAATAAGCGTAGTAATCCTTTTTTATTGTATTTATGACTCACATAAGATACCAATGTCACTGCTCCTTTGCATGTCTACTTACTGTTAAAATGCTTACACTACATCATATACTGAATCAAACCAGAAACAAGAAAATTGTTATTCTCATTCTCGGGTTACTGATTTATAGTACTGTCTGTTTAGGCACCCCTTTACGATAGATCAAGCGGATGCTTATCAACAAAGTCATATAGTTCATCTCCAATTCTAAATCCAAGCATTCTGGCCATATCATTTGCTATCAATTTAGGCTTGGGAATGTTGTGATGCTTCAACCAGGAATACACGATGAAGACTTTCTTCATGACGAACAGTTCCAACGCCTCCGGGTTGAAAACAATTCCCATTTTCAAATTCATCTGCAGCATAACATAAACATACTGTGTCAGAATCAAAACATGTTTTCCCTTTTTCACACACAAGCATGCAGTTCTTAACATCACCTGGTGTGGAACCATCATTGCAGCATACCGAGCCAGTTCTCCAGCTCTCCAATCCAACAAAACTGGCAACCATGGATAGGTAGCATCAAGTCTCACAAACCATACCCTAATATCAGGATACTCTGACAATTCTCTAGGATCATGAGGATCTTCTCTTTTATAGTTGATGGTGAAGCCAATTGAGCGCTCAAGAAACTCTTTTGGTTCAACTGCAACATTAACATCACCATGTACAGCATCCAAGTTAACAATGAAGTTATGAAGCTGTTTCATGAATGTATATCCAAAAAGTAGCTAAACAACCTTGAAGGTTACATATCAGAACGCCTACCAGATAAAGGAGACTTCATGCCTGTTGCAGCTTGAAAAGGGGACAAGTCAAGACGAGTAATAATATCATTGTCAATAACAACTTCAAATCGGCCTTCAGTTGGGGGCAGAGAAGGTGCAACTTTTTGTTCATCTGTCAACCAAAGTCTGTTCAAATGTAGTATAATACATTCCATCAAACGCATGGAGCACAGTTCATTGCAACGAAATTACGTGGATTAAGAAAGAAAGTAACATTTTATGAATCTTTGATTTGAAACGGATTTAGGAGGCCCTTTAATTGAAATCAACAGTGTACATATCTTCAATTTTCATTCTGCACAATTTTACATTTTAGTTCAGCTTCTATCCACTGTGAGTTCAAAATAGTTTACAATTCTCAATCAATCAGGAACCAATATTAACATGAACTTCAAATAGTTACTGTAAAAGTTAACAAATCTATATGAATTTATATTAATATATCTAAGATTGAGAACCTATAATAAGCATAAAAAAGTGACAGAAAAAGTATAGAATGATTGTGATTGTGTTACCATCATCATCAAACAAGGAGAGGTCGAAGTTTCCTTGGGGATTGTAGGCAACGGAGACAGCAACATGTCCTCTCTGATAGAGAGGAGGAGGAATTGGAGAGGTAAGGGAAATTGGTTTGCAAGAAAAACATGAAATGGATGGTTTTGGCAAAGGAGAAAGTGGAAGCAATGGTTTGCATTTCACTGAGGAAATAGCCATCATGAAGTTTGCAATGTGAGAGTTGCAGGCAGAGAACTGCATAAGCAGTTAATACCGTTTCTATCCACAAAATTCTCTGTCCTTACATTTTTCTCATACTTCTATCCACTTCTTTAAACCCACTTTTTGGGCCTTTCATCAAATATATAATTAATTTCAAAAATATAGATAATAGAAAATTATATAGAGATATATGTTAGAAATTCCAAAAATTTATTTTAATTGCTTTCAATTTTATCACTAAATTTTTTTCGAAAGAAAATGTTTTGGGTCCTTTTCACTTATAAATATATTTATTTATATTTTGGAATACTCTAGTGGTTGAAGTTTTAATTTTTTAATAAAATGCTGGAAGAAGTAGTCATCTATAAGACTGGAATATATCTCTAACTTTTTTGTTTAAACACCCAACCGTTTCTAATATTATAAACTGGTGATGCCGGGGTTAAGTATATCTGCTATAATTGGAATGTATATGAAAATAGATACAATAAACAATTAATAATAAGATATAGTTTTTAAATTTTAACTCCTAAAAAAGATTAACACAGTACAAAAATCGGATATTCATAATTGTTCGAATTAATTAATTAAATTATATATCATTATATCAGGATATGTCTTCAACGTTAATTCTACATTTACTTTAAATATGTTTATGTGTAATTGGAAATTGAACTTCACATATTATAATAAATTTAGTGTAATCGGAAATTGAACTTCACATGTATGAGTCAACATTAAGCTTCGTTGTAACTTTTACGAGTTTTTGTTGGTGTTTTTAAAAACAAGTGTACAAATTTCGTTTAAAAATATATACAAATACACGCGATATGAAATTCCAAACTCAAATCAACATTTATTAAAGATCCAAAGCAATGATGTTGTACATCAATAATAAAGGATTAGGGATTTATTTTATATGAAAAATTAATTCCATGACTTTCAATTTTGTACCAAAAATTTATTCATTTTAAAATTTATTTACCTATCATGACCTGGTTTTAGGGTACCAAATTATAAAATTAAAGTAATAATGTACAAAATTTATATGTCGACTTTTGTCTATTTTAGAGGTCAGGTCGGTTACATGCTAGTTTCGGACTTTTTGGGCTAGTTTTACAATTTGTTTATTTGATATTTCTCTAAAAAAGTTAAAGAAAAAAAAATACTCATTTTATTGACATATCCATACCAATGTAATAAATAAAAGCCCAAAAAAATGTATTATATTATAACATTTAGAAACATTTTTAAATATAATATTGTAATCACTACTACAACTGCGTTTAATACTAAAAGTAGCTATATATTATCAGGTGAAATGTCAGTGTATGTGTACAAAGGACTAACACAGATAAATAGTCTTATTTATATAGAAATTAATTTTTAATTTTAACAAATTTAAGGATTAAATAA